CTAATGGTAGTCAATATCTGTCTGGGGATGGGGAGACACCCTTATTAACAAGGGTGCCTGAACGATGCACATTTGTATACCTAACCCTTAACTGTACCCCACAATTTTATAATAAAAAATATGTTTAATAATAAAAAAAGAAATAACTAGACTGACTACAATGTAATACATTTATTTTCATTGAACTTATATATCTTTGTTATGTGTTTATTTATTTTTGAGTTAGGGGTCTCACTCTGAAGCCCAGGCTGGAGTGCAATGGCATTATCACAACTCACCACAGCCTTGACCTCCTGCGCTTAGACAATCTCCCTCCTCAGCCTCCTAAGTAGTTGGAATTATAGGCACACGCTACCATGCCCAACTAATTTTTGGGCTTTTTTTGTAGAGACAAGGTCTTGCTGTGTTGCATAGGCTTGTCTAGAATTCCTGGGCTCAAGCGATCCTCCTGCCTCAGTCCTGGCCTTCCAAAGGGTTGGGATTACAGGCATGAGTCATTGCGCCCGGCTGTTATGTGTTTAGATTATACTGAATGTACATTGAAAAGCAGTTACTTAAGCTTTTTTTTTTTTTTTCTTTCAGCCACTTTTCCAGGTATGTGGGAGAGAACAGTAACAATAGGAAGTGCTGGAAAGACTTTCAGTGTAACTGGCTGGAAGGTAAGATGAGTAAGAACTTAATTGTGTAAAAGTGGGCACATAATTCATTTTTTTATAGTATTTTTTGTTTTAAATGCATACATATTGAGACTACACATGTTCTTATACCTAATGACTTTTTGCTTATTTATTGGATTATTCAGCTGTCATGTTGAGCTTTATATTTTTGAGACCTAAAAATAAGAAAAATCAAGTAATTTTTCATTTTATAACTGATCAACTAATGACACTTTTTTCTTTGCAAAGAATGTTTAGAAAGCTGCACATTAACATAAAATGAGAAAAATAATAATAGCTAATATTTTGATACTACATGCCTGACTCGTAATGTTTTACAATAACAATTTAACCAGTTGAAACCCAATTCTCTTCCAGCCTCACCTCTCCAGGGAGCATGAGGCCTGCAGAATCAAGTCTGTGTTTTTTTTTTTTTGAGTTGGAGTCTCACTCTGTCACCCAGACTGGAGTGCAGCCTCGACCTGCTGGGCTCCAGCGATCCTTCCGCCTCAGCTTTCCAAGTAGCTGGAACTACAGGCGCACACTATCACGACTGGATAATTTTTTGATTTATTGTAGAGATGAGGTCTCGCCAAGTTGCCCAAGGGGGTCTCAAACCTGCGGGCTCAGGCAATCCACTCACCTCGGCCTCCCAAAGCGCTGGGATTGCAGGCTGAGCCACCGAGCCCGGCCAAGTCTGTGTGTTTTAATATTGGAAGAGTTCCGTAGGCCCTCATTCTGAGTTACTTTTATCTGTAGTTCAAACAAGCTTTGTTACCAGTTTTTAGTCCTTCAGAAGATTAGAAATAGCAAATAAGAAGATTGGAAAGACTAATAATGATTGATTGCAAACTCTGTTCACCTAATGAAGGCAGAACTTAGTGATGAAAGCAGGTCTTAGTGATTCCAACTGAAAACTTTTCCATCAAAAGAATAGCATTGAAATGATTCAAAGTACTTATACTGCACTACATTCATAGTAGAACATTTTGAAATTGTGTATATTTAACACTTTCATTCAGTTTAACTACTCTCAGATGTGGCAGATCCAATCAGATTATTTTTTGAAATCTGCTGTTATCGTTTTCTTTCCCAGCTTGGCTGGTCCATTGGTCCTAATCATTTGATCAAGCATTTACAGACAGTTCAACAAAACACCGTTTATACTTGTGCAACTCCTTTACAGGTAGGTGTGATAGTAACTTCTCTTTATGTCCTTTTTGGGCAGTGTTTTCTAACTTAATTTGGGATTTTTAGAAGCAGACACATATTCGTTTTTAGCAAGAACAGTTTGTTTTGGTTTGGTTTTTAATTTTTATTGTTAATTTTTTTTTTTCTTGAAATGGTCTTACTGTGTTGCCCAAGCTGGTTTTGAACTCCTGGACTCAAGTGGTCCTCCCACCTCAGCCTCCCAAAGAGCTGGGATTACAGACGTGAGCCACCGTGCTCAGCCTGCAGTTTTTTTGTTTTGTTTTGGTTTGGGGAGTTTTATTTATTTGTTTTTATTTTTATTTTTTGAGTTGGAGTCTCCACTCTGTTACCCAGGCTGGAGTGCAGTGGCATGCTCTGGCCACCGCAGCCTCAACCTGCTGAGCTCAGGAGATCCTTCTGCCTCAGCCTTCCAAGTAGCTGGAACCACAGGCACTTGCCACCATGCCCGGCTAATTTTTTTTTTTTTTTGGATTTATTGTAGAGATGAGATCTTACCAAGTTGCCCGGGCTGGTCTCGAACCGTGAGCTCAGGCAATCCTCTCACCTTGGCCTCCCAAAGTGCTGGGATTATAGGCATGAGCCACCACTCCCAGCCTTGGGGTTTTTTTTTTTTTAATACATCAAGTTTTAGCTTTGAACTGTCATACATTGCTAGCAGGAGTACAGAGTGCTGCGGAATCAGCAGAGGCAGCACAAAGCAAAATTACAGATGTCATTGCCCTATGAAACAGCAATCCATCTTCTGAGAATTTATGCTAAGGCTATTATCTGCACATGTAAGAAGTTATGTATGTACATGGCTATTCATTGCAGATGATTAGAGATGGTTTGTTATTCATCTACAGATAGTTGGTTAAATAAACCATGATCTAGCCAAACATGGAAAAGTTGTGTGACTGAATTCACTTCAAATTGCTGCTGTAACAGATTACCATAAACTTAGTGACTTAAAGCAACACAAATGTATTATTTTACAGTTCTGCAGATCTGAAGTCTGAAATGGGTCTTAAAAGGGCTAAAATCAAGGTGTCATCGTTGCTGTGCTCCTTCTGGAGGCTCTAGGGGAGAATCTGTTCCTTGCCTTTTCCAGCTTCTAAAGGTCGCCTGCATTCCTTGGCTCAAGGTTCCATCACACCAGCCTCTGCTTTCGTAATACATCTTCTGTGACTGTAACTCTCCTACCTCCCTCTTTCCCTTAGAAGGACCATTGAGGTAACATTAGGCCCATTGGATAATCTTCTCATCTCAAGACCCTTACATTTAGGTCATATCTGCGAAGTTCTTTTACCATGCAAGGTAACAAACATATTTACAGGTTCTAAGACATGGACATCTTTGGGGGCCGTTATTCTGTCTACCACAATGACTGTTTAAAAGAAAAGAAAAGAAAAAGAATGAGGAAACTCTATCATTACTGATATAGAAATATTTCCAGAATATATTATAAAATTAAAAAAGCAACACAGAGTATGTATGTTTATGCTATGTTTTGTATAATAAAGGGGGGAAGCTGCTTGTATTTTCTTTAAGGATCTCTGGAAGGGTCCATAAGAAACTAGTAAAAGTAGCTATTTATAAGGTAAAAAGAGTATGTGAAATAAATAGAAACACAAAACTGGTTTCATTTTTTATTTTTATTTTGTTATAGAGACAAGGTCTTGCTGTGTTGCCCAAGCTGGTCTTGAACTTCTGGGCTCAAGCAATCCTCTTGCCTCAGCCTCCCAAAGTGCTAGGATTACAGACATGAGTCACAATGCCCAGCTGAGAAACTCTTGCACTTAGACCACCTGCATGGCATATGAATGATTGCAGCAAGGATTTGGACACCTATAGGGAGTGAGAAAAATACTTTTCCTCCTCTACACAGAGGGTCAGCTTTCATTTCCACTGTGTTCTCTGAAGTAACAGGGAAAGACTGACTACTTCATTACTTCTCTGGTTATTTTTCTTTTTGTTTTTGATGACCAAGTTCATTTGCACAGTTTATTTTTTTAAAAAAACAACAGCTCTAAGTTAGAAAGACAGATGTTTTCTTTATTGTAAGGACAACAGTTACAAAACAAAAGTTACAAATATGATATTGGGTTTTTTTTTTTTAATATAATAAACACCTGGCATTTGTGAGTAAACTCAAGAATTCACAAGATATAAAAATCTGTACTGGAGATAGGAACCTCTTCACCTCAGTACCTTGGAGCAGTTGTTAGAAACTGGCCATGACTTTTGGGATTTTGAGAGGCCCTGGGTCTATCACTTGGGAATGTCAGGGGTACACTGTCATATAATTAGCATAGAGTTAGAATGAACAGGAATCCATCTACTCATTAGTATTCTAATTATCCTATCATTCTTACAGTATGTAAGAGTGGGGAAAAGGCTGAAATAGAAAGACATGGATGGAGTGGGATGAAGAAGCATTGGGCCTAGGGGGAATACTAAGTACCTAGGAGAAGTGAGGAAGAAGCAGAACTCTATCTTTTCTCTACTGTGTGTCACCTGACCTGCATGCCACTCCCCCTCCTCCCCCTGTTTGAGAGAGGACCCCCAGTGGTCACTCCTGGCCTCCCTAAAAACTCACCAAGGACAGAAGATACAAAAACCACCAACAGATAAGGGTGAGAGCAGGAGGCTGGATGGGAAACAGAGAGAGGAGGAGTGCAGAGGATTCCACAAGAAAATGAACATTTTCTCTGAGGACCCAAAAGACAGACATACCTGTGTGAATTAACACAGCAAACCACTCTGTTGTGGTGTGGTACAGGGACAAGGACAAAGTGAAGGCTACCGAGAAGAGGCAAGTTCTGGCTACAGAGGGCAGAGGGGCAGAGGCAGGAGAGAGAGGCGAGCAGGCACCTGGCCCATCTCAGGACCCTCTCAGAGGGACTCGGACACTGGGAGGAGTGAGGGCTGGCATGCAAGCTTCCATAGGCTGCGGGTGTGGACACTGGCTCAGGGAGGGAGCCTGGCCATCTCTCCCATGGGGCATCTGTGAAGCACAGTGTGGACAGAGAGCAAGGTCATAGCTAGAAATTCAACATCTTTTGGGGGGAACAATTTAACCCACATGTGGGTTGAGTTGTAAGAGTTATTTACATATTCTAAATATAAGTACCTTATCAAATATATGACTTGCAAATATTTCTTCCTATTCTATGAAATGTCTTTTTACTTACTTGATGGTATATATTTAATATGTACCACTACATATTATATATACAGAGAGTATCAAAACATATATATACTTTTTTTAACTATTAAAATTATGATATTATATACCGATACCAAAGATGAATACAAGATACATTTGACTTCTATAATTACAAGAGGTGCACACTGTTCGGTAGATTTCTGTGGCAAGCATGTTAACTATTCCAACACCACAGCAAAAGAAGCAGTACTTGTTGCTGTGTGAGGCCTCTCGGATCTTCCCTTGTGCACATCACACACAGGACCATGTGGCTCAAACTTATCAGTAATGTGTGCAGTTGTTAGGCATGTTGGAGATTCTCTTGCATACTCACACCTCATGTCATTGTACTCATGTCATTGCACTTCCACAATGTTCTTGAATTTCAAACCACTTCAAAATAGTCGTGTTCCTCAAATGACAACCTTACTTCCACCATTTTCTTTTACTGTCCTGCCTGTCATATGGTGATGCTAGCATTCATTTGATTAACACTATCTTTTGAGCAAATGTCATACTACACATTGCTACCGTAATGTAATTCAACTTTGAAAAGTAATATATAGATAACGTCTCTTAAAATGTGTATATCTTTTTTGGCACCCCCAGGATGTGTGTGTGTCTGTGTGTGTGTGTGTGTGTAATATGTATATATGTTATATATTACTCTTTTTTGCAGTAGCTTTAGGGGGTACAAATAGTTTTTGGTTACATAGATGCACTGGATAGTGCCAAAGAAGTCTAGGCTTTAAGTGTGCCCACCACCCCCACCAGTGTACACTGTACCCGATAGGTGATGTTTCAGCCCTCTCACTTTTGAATCTCCAGTGTCCTTTATGCCATTCTCTATGTCTTTGCAGATCCTTAGTTTAGCTCCTACTCATAAGTGAGAACATGTGGTGTTTGATTGGCTGTTCTTGCATTAGTTCACTCAGGATAATGTTCTCCAATTTCATTCATGTTGCTGCAAAAGACATTATTTCATTCTTTTTTATGGCTGAATAGTATTCCATGGTGTGTGTGTGTGTGTGTGTGTGTGTGTGTGTGTGTGTGTGTGTGTGTATCTCACATTTTTATTATCCACTGATCAGTTGATGGGCATTTAGGTTGATTCCACATCTTTGCAATTGTGAATTGTGCTGCAGTAAATATCTGAATGTGTTTTTTTTTGTGTAACAGCTGGTCATTTTTCTTAGATTCAGCAAGTCGTTCTACCTCAGTAGAAAATATCTCAATGTCTTTTTGTTTTCAAATAAGCCATCTTTATATGATACCTCTTTTTCAATTTGGATTTTCATGACTCATCTTTAGTTCTTCACATTAATCATTTAGGTGTAACTGATTCCTCCATTAATCTATAGAATTTAATACAGGTTCACAGGAATTCAACAGTAATTTCCTGAGTGACCTTTTTGCCAATAATCTTACTCAGATAATCTTTATTTATTATATCAATAAACTAAGCAATAAATAACATTGCAGTATTTCCTTTCCACATTTTTCAATTATAACATACAGGAAGCCTTGGCTCAAGCTTTCTGGATTGACATCAAGCGCATGGATGACCCAGAGTGTTACTTTAATTCTTTGCCAAAAGAGTTAGAAGTAAAAAGAGATCGGATGGTACATTTACTTGAAAGTGTTGGCCTAAAACCCATAGTTCCTGATGGGGGATACTTCATCATCGCTGATGTGTCTTTGCTAGGTTTGTAAAGGCCTTTGTTCTTTCAAATATGTGGAAACTAATGTGTGAAATTATAGCAGAATTATGGAGAAAAGATCGGTGTCAAAGCCACAATAGCATTTTATCTATGGAAAGGGATAGATTTTTACAATGTCATTGTTTTCTAAAATTATCTTTACTTTTAGGTCTTTTATTTGAAATATGACTATTATTCAGTGGTTATAGAGTCAGTGTTGTTCTAGAATATCTATTAAACATAGAATTTGTTATTATCCTATTTTGGTGTGTAATTTAAAATGCAGGTATATGAAATAATATATATACTGATGTTCATTTCAGTAAAATTTTATTTTCCTTCTCACTTAACCAAAACACACTAGTTTGTTAGAAAAACAGACATTTTGAAGCCATCAAGAAATACAGTATTTGCCACTTTAGAATATACTGAAATGAAATAAACAAGGAGAATAACATTTATTGAGGGTCTGCTGTGTGCCAAGCAGTCAAACACCCTTTTGAAGAAAGCACTAGCTCCATTTTTGCAGATAAGAAGATCTGAAGAGTTTTAAATAACTTGCCTGAAGTCATACAACTAGATTCTAAATAGTCCTGTCTCCAAAGAGCATGGTCTTCATATTACCTAAGCAATTATATGCCATACAAATCTGAAGTTAGAAGCATAATCGTGTTTTATATATAACTTACTTTTCTTATACAAAACTTAATAAACTTTAAAGACTAATTTATTCTGACAGAAATTACAGCCATTCTAAAGATTGCTTTAAATGTTTAAAGTTTTTGTTTATGGTTTTGTTTTGTTTTTGAGTTAGAATCTCACTGTCACTGGAGTGCAATGGCATATTCACGGCCACCTTAGCCTTGACCTGCTGGGCTCAGGTGATCCTTCCATCTCAGCCTTCCAAGTAACTGAAACTACTGGCACGAGCCACCACACCCGGCTGATTTTTTATTTATTGTAGAGATGGGGGTCTCACCAAGTTGCCCAGGCTGGCCTCAAACCCATAGGCTCAGGCAATCCTCTCACGTACACCTCCCAAAGAACTGGGATTATAGGTGTGGTGGTTCACGCCTATATTTTATTAGAGTAAATTTTATTAGAGTAAGTTTACATGCCAGTAAACTTGAAAAACTGAAGTTTGGAATTTTTAATTAATTAATTGATTGATTAATTTTTTGAGTCAAGATCTCACTCTGTCACCCAAGCTGGAGTATAGTGGCATGCTCACGGCCACTATAACTTCTACTTGCTGGGCTCAGGTGATTCTTCTGCCTCAGTCTCCCAAGTTGCCCAGAAAATGTTTTAATTTGTTGTAGAGATGAGCAACATGTCTTGCTATGTTGCATAGGCCGGTGTCAAGCTCCTGGGCTCGAGCACTTCTGCCTCAGCCTTCCAAAGTACTGGGTTTATAGGTATGAGCCACCATACCCAGCCTGAAGTTTTTTATTTAGACAAAATTTTATAAAGTTAGAAAGAATAAAAGAAATTTTCAATTTTAAAAACTGTTTAAAAAAACACAAAAAACTTTAGGCCAGGTATGGCGGTTCACACCTGTAATCCCATCACTTTCGGAGGCAGAAGCAAGAGGATTGCCTGAGCCCAGGGCTTCAAGACCAGCCTGTGCAATTTGGTGAGACTTTGTCTCTACGATTAAAAAAAAAAACAAAAACTTTAGGCCAGGCGTGGTGGCTTAGCCTGTAATCCCAGCACTTTGGGAAGCTGAGGTAAGAGGCTTGCTTGAGCCCCCCAGGGGTTCAAGACCAGCCTGGGCAACTTGGTGAGACCTCGTCTGTACAATAAATCACAAAAACTAGCCATGTGTGGTGGCTTGTGTCTGTAGTTCCAGCTACTTGGAAGGCTGAGGAGGAACAATTGCCTAAGCCCATTAAGTCAAGACTGTGGAGGCCGTGAGTGTGCCATTGCACTCCAGTCTGCATAACAACGAGTGAGACTCCAACTCAACAACAAAAAAATTAGCTGGGTACAGTGGTGCACACCTGTAGTTCTAACTACTTAGAAGGTTGAGGCAGAAGTATCACCTGAGCCTAGCAGATTGAGGCTGCGGTGGCTGTGACTGCACCACTGCACTTCAACTTGAGCAACAGAAGTGAGACTTCAACCCCCCCACCAAAAAAAATTTCATATACTCTACATAGGAATTATGTTGTAATACTTCATTATCATCTTAACAGATTTCAGGGATATAAAGTATTATGATTTACTCATGATTTGGCCTTAATATTCCTCTGTCTCTGGGAAGTAGTTATAAACTCTAGCCCTGCCCGTTGGAACTCTGGGGGAGGTTGTCCAGATATTTACAGTATCCTTTCATGGGCTGCTTCTTTATCTTGACAGACGGCCTAATACCTAAATGTCTAGCAGACACCTTTGTGGCTCTTGTCTGACCTGTATTTTCATCAAGTTAGCCACTCTCGAGGAGAACCCTGATGGAGAGGAGAGGTTCAGGTGTGCCAGTCATGTGCGACATAAGGGAGGCAACAAACCTCCCAGGACCAATTGGAAGTAGGGAGTGGTCCAGGATGCCCACACTCAGCCAGTGGGTGAAGAATGAGAGCTAGGAGCCTGTGGGCCAAAGCCTTTATTGGGGTTCAGGGCATTGTCCAAGCAGATTTCCCACAGAGACTTCTAATTGGTGAGTTTAGAGCAAGCAGGTACGAGCTCCATGGAGTCACTCGGACATAGCTGGGCAGTCCATGAGAAGTGTGGAGCCAGTGGCCGAGTCAAGTAGGTTATATCTAGCTGTTCCATAGGGAGATACTCACCAAGAGGTGGGTGTAAAAGGCAGATATCTGGACTGACCATACTGAGAAACTGTCAGGAGGAAGAGAAGTGGAAATTGTGTCAAGGGTGATTAAGCCCTGCTTCTGGCATGAGAAAAGTCCAGCTTATGTTCAAAACAGATGCCGAGGCAACATACTTTTATAAGCATTCACATGTGAGGTTTGGCTCAAACTGAAGCCGACTTCTTTTTCCTTTCACGTTGAGAGAAGATGCTGTGGCAAGCAGAGGTTCTTGCATTCCTATTACCAGAGAGTTGTCGAGTTGTATTTGGCATTCTCCCATTCTTTTCTCTCTTTTTTTTTTTTATTTGGAATCTCACTCCATCGCCCAGGCTGGAGTACAGTGGCATACTCACAGCCACCACAGCCTCAACCTGCTGGGCTCAGGCGATCTTTCTGCCTCAGCCTTCCAAGTAGCTGGAACTACAGGCACGGGCCACCACGCCCACCTCATTTTTTCATTTATTGTAGAGTTGAGGTCTCGCCAAGTTGCCCAGGCCGGTCTCGAACTCGTGCACTCAGGCAATCCTCACACCTCAGCCTCCCAAAGTGCTGGGATTATAGGCATGAGCCATCATGCCCATTCTTATATAAAACCCTTTAAGGTAGTCTGTACTCTGAGGTTTAGAAAACATTTTTTCTTTAGTGGGTCTGAATGTGCAACTCATTTCATAAAATGATAAAAAGAAATAGCACAGATGTCATCACTTATATTTCTGCCTTTGAGTCAGAACTCCACAAGGTTTTCCACATGAACTATTTTGTTTAAGAAAAAATAGTTTTTATTTGTGTTTCCAAAAATAATTTGAGCCTACTCATATTAAAAGCCTTCTATTAAATAATACATAAATATAAATAATCATGTATCAAAAATTGGTGACACATAAGAAGGAGAAGATGAAAATATTCCAGTCACCGAGGTTCATATAGTATTGTAACTAGCATTAACTAGAAACTAGACTTCCTAGCAGCAAAGGCAAATAGAAAACTGGAATCAGTTACATCATTCTTCAGTCAAAGGAAGCGTAACAGCTTTTTTTTTTTTTTTTGAGTTGGATTCTCACTCTGTCACCCAGACTGGAGTGCAGTGGCCACTCCCGGCCACCACAGCCTCGACCTGCTGGGCTTCCGATCCTTCCGCCTCAGCCTTCCGAGTAGCCGGAATTACAGGCACGCGCTACCACGCCCGGCTGATTTTTTGATTTATTGTAGAGATGAGGTCTCGCTGCCCAGGCGGGTCTCGAACCCGCAGTCTCAGGCAATCTACTCACCTCAGCCTCCTAAAGGCGCGGGATTACAGGCTGAGCCAAAATCACTCCTCTCACTGAGCTACCTTTGTACCTTGAAAACACTACTAGTACTGTCACCTGGGATTTTACATAATTTACAATTAGACTCTATCTTTTTTAAGCTTTTTTTTTTTTAGGGCCAAACCTGAAGTAAACACTAATACACACATATACATTGAAATAGTAATTTAATTTCCTCATCTGTAAAGAGGATTTAACTACCTCTTAGAAAGGTAGTAACAACAAACTGAGAGGATGATAGAACATGCTTTGCAGCAAATAGTACGTACTCAGTAAATGGTAGTATATTATTAGCATTATTATGTGGAAATTTTATATTCTCCTTAAAGCATAGGGGAGAATAGAAGCAAAAATTATCAGGAAAAAAGGTATTAGGACTTTGTTTTTAAAATACAGGTGGCCGGGCGTGGTGGCTCAAGTCTGTAATCCCAGCCCTTTGGGAGGCTGAGTCGAGAGGATTGCCTGAGTTCAGGGGTTCGAGACCAGCCTAGGCAACTTGGTGAGACCTCATCTCTACAATAAACCCCAAAATAAGCCAAGTGTGGTAGCACGCGCCTGTAGTTCCAGCTACTTGGAAGGCTGAGGTGGAAGGATTGCCTGAGTTCAGCAGGTCCAGGCTGCAGTAGCCGTGAGCGTGCCACTGCACTCCAGCTTTGATGATAGAGTGAGACTCCATCTCAAAAAAAATTTAAAATACAGGTAAAACTTTCTTCAGTATCAAAGATTTTACATAGTTAATTTGAAAAGAACCACTAGTGTATCATGAATCAAAAAGTAAGATATCTGCCTTGATTTGTTTTGAGCAATAAATTGTAAAATGTTGTTGATTGCAAGAACCATCAACATGAGTTTCTAGCTAGGCATGTTGGCTCATGCCTGTAATCTCAGCACTTTGGGAGGTTGAGGTGAGAGGATCACCTGAGCCCACAGGTTTGAGACCAGCCAGGACAACATTGTGAGACCTTATCTCTGCAATAAATCAAAAAATTAGCTGCAATAAATCAAAAAACACGCCTGTATTTCCAGCTACTGGGAAGGCTGAGGTGGAGGGGTCGCCTGAGCCCAGCAGGTCGAGGCTGCAGTAGATATAAGTGTGTCATTGCGTTCCAGCCTGGGCAACAGAGTGAGAATCTGACTCAAAAAAACAAAACAAAAAACCATGAGTTGCTTTGGAGCATTCAAAAAGATCCAAAAGAAAAAGTCAATAAAGTTGAAACAATTATGAAATGTGGATAATTAATTTAAAATAGCATAACATATGGAAGCTAGAGATTTAAAACATAAGACTAGCATTTGGAAGATCAAAATAGACATCCTGTATTTAAATATGAATAATATTAATTTATTTGTTTAACAAATAAGTTTTTTATTACTTACATGCTAGAACTGACCTAGGACCTGGGGACACAATAGGTTACAAAACAAAACTCTACCTTTGTGGAACTTGCAATCTAATGAATGGCTATTTGGAGATATAATTATTACTGATGGATACTCTATACATTTAGGGTTTTTATTGTTTTGTTTTGTTTTTTTTTGAGTCAGAGTCTCACTTTGTCACCAAGGCTGGAGTGCAGTGGCATGCTCACGGTCACCACAGCTCAGGCAATCTTTCCACCTCAGCCTTTCAAGTAGCTGGAACCACAGACATGTGCCACCATGCCCAACTAATTTTTTTTTTTTTAATTGTAGAGATGAGGACTCGCCATGTTGCTCAGCTGGTCTTGAACCTGTGAGCTCAGGCAGTCCTCTTGCCTCAGCCTCCCAAAATGCTGGGATTACAGGCATAAGCCACCACGCCCAGCTAGTTGTTATTTTTAAATAACGATCCCAGAGTTTTATGTCTAGATGGAAAGGGAACACTTTCCTTCCCCTTCTCAGTATTCTCTTCCTGTGCTAGAGCTGCATGTACAAGCATGACCGACCAGATGTATGTGTGAGTACTACCTTAGAATATTAGTAAAGTTCCTCTGTGAATTCCTCACTTCCCAACCCACAGTACAATATAAGACTCCAGCATATTCTGTGAATATCTCCTGAGAAAATTCCAAATCAAACTAACTTGAATCAGGAGAAATTTTGAATCTTGATAGACTTAAGTAAAATAGATGTTGCCTCAGATATAATTCATAGGTTGCCAAATGTTCATTGTTGTTTTAGATGCAGACGTCTCTGATATGAAGAACAATGAGCCTTATGACTATAAATTTGTAAAATGGATGACTAAAAATAAGGTAATGTTTACTGCCTTTTGCAATATTGTTATTTTGTAGTTAATTTATGAGGGAAACCTGGCACACTTTGAACAACATTAAATGTAGCTTTGTCACAGGATATTCCACTCGTGGCTTTTAAAAGCATTTTTCCTTTTGGAAATTGTTGTGACTATTTAAAGATATCTGTTTGTTTCTTATGTATGTAATCTCAAAAATAATATCTAAAGTAAAAGTAGTTTTTCTATTATACCTTTTATTTTTCAGAAACTATCAGCCATCCCTGTTTCGGCATTCTGTAACTCAGAGACTAAATCACAGTTTGAGAAGTTTGTGCGATTTTGCTTCATTAAAGTAAGTTTCCCGTTCTACTGAAAAACACATTTATAATATCTTCATTTTGATTTATAAAGCACCACTTTTTTTTCTATTGTAAAAATTATATGCTCATATGCAGTTGTTAAATTTTGACTTGCTACTGTGAAATTAGCTGCCAACCAGAACAAATCTCATTTCTCTAGAAGGGAACAACATAATACATACTCTTTACTGTGTAGTGTTACAATGTCCAGCATATACTACAAAATTAGTAGGCATGTGAAACACAAGAAAATGTGGTCCATAATAAAGAAAAAAAGTAGTTAATAGAAGTAGATTTAAAGCCAACCTAGATGTAGAAATTATCAGAAAGGGACTTTATGTATGTATGTATGTATTTTGAGTTGGAGTCTCTGTTGCCCAGGCTGTAGTACAGTGGCATGCTCACGACCACCGCAACTTTGACCTGCTGGGCTCAGGTGATCCTTCTGCCTCAGCCTTTCAAGTAGTTGGAATTGCAGGCACATGTCACCATGCCCGGCTAATTTTGTTGTAGAAATGAGGTCTTACCAAGTTGCTCAGGCTGGTCTCAAACCTGTGGACTCAGGCAATCCTCTCACCTTGGCCTCCCAAAGTACTGGGATAATAGGCATGAGCCACCGCACTCAGTCCCAGACAAGGACTTTAAAGCAAATATTATAAGTATGTTCAAGACATTAAAGGAAAATATGGTCATAATGAGCAAGCAGAGGGGTTAGAACTATAAAAAAAGAATGGAAATACAAGAACTTAAAAGTATAATTATCTGATATGAAATATTTATGGGGTTTAACAGAAGATTAAAGATATCAGAACAAAGAGGTTTACTTGAATACAGATTCATAGAAATTACATAATCTGAAAAAGAGAATAAAAAAATGAACAGAGCCTTAGATCTATGAGATTATCAAGTGATAATATATATGTCATTGGATTTCCAAAATAATCTGACAGAGAAAAATAGTTTAAGGAAAAATGCTACAATTTTTAACATGCGATAAAAAGCAACCAGAGATCTAAAAATATCAGTGAAATACATCGGGATAGGCACATCATAATCAAACTGCTGAAAACCAAATTTGAAGATAAGATCTTAAAAGCAATCAGAGAAAAACTGCACACGGCATGGGAACAAAGATACAAATATTAACTAACTTCTTATCAGAAACAATAGAGACCAAATTACAATTAAATAACAGCACTAAAATAAAAATAAAAAATTCCAACCCAGAATGGTATATACAGAAAAATATCTTCTAGAAGGAAAAATAAAGTAGACATTCCTGACAAATGAAAGCTGAAAGAATTCATCACTGCCAGGCATAGTGGCTCACGCCTATAATCCCAGCAGTTTGGAAGGCTGAGGTGAGAGGATTGCCTAATCCCAGGGGTTCTAGACCAGCCTGAGCAACTTGGCAAAACCTCATCTCTATAATAAATAAAAAAACTAGTGGGGTGTGGTGGCTCATGCCTGTAGTCCCAGCTAGTGGGAAAGCTAAGGCAGAAGGATCGCCTGAGCCCAGCAGGTCAAGGCTGCGGTGGCCATGAGCATGCCACTGTACTCCAGCCTGGGTGACAGAGTGAGACTCCAACTCTAAAGAAAAAAAAAAGAACCTATACTTTTAAAAATTCTAGGTATGAACATCCAATGTAATACTATAAGAAAATGACTGATGGTACTGGGAAACTATGGGGGGGAGGGGGATGGGATTAACAGTAGCAAATACCTGTCTGGGGATGGGAAAACACCTCTTATCAACAGGGTGCCTGAATGAAACGTAATTGTACACCTAACCCTTAACTGTACCCCACAAAACCATAATAAAAAATATTGATTAATAAAAAATAAAAATAAAAAAATAAAAATTCTAGGTAGTGCATGGGTGGTTCAGTGGTAGAATTCTCGCCTGCCACGTGGGAGGCCTTGGTTCGATTCCTGGCCCATGCAGCTCGTCATCACCTTTTAGCCGGGCTCGGTGGCTCAGCCTATAATCCCACCACTGCACTCCAGTCTGGGTGACAGAGTGAGACTCCAACTCAAAAAATAAAAAAAACAAAAAAATAAAAAATTCTAGATGTATCACTGCTGTTTTTAAGATGTTATTGCTACTGAAAACACTCTTACTAAGATCAACATACTCTACCAACTCACTCATCTGTAAATATAGACAAAATAATGTAAACATTGTTTTCAATTTTGAGAGACTTTTAGATAAATTATGAAAGACTAGAATATAAATGTTCACCACTTAACAATGATTGAAATTTTAAAGAAAGACCAAGGCCATTAATATTCTCATTTTACAATAGATTGAGAAATAGAGGTATATTACTCTGTAAGACCTACAGTTTTAAAATACTAAACACAGCCCTCTCTATTCTCTTCCTGGAAATTATTCAAAAACCACTAGGAGCATGGAAAACAAATTCACAACTTCCCCAATGTTTGAGGAAGGGTTGCCAAATACAGTGAAGGTGGTGGTAGAGGGAAGACACTTAGAAAAAAATCCTGCTTCTGCATCTTCAAATTATAGACAAAGCCAACAGGTAGCATACTCATTATCAAGAGCAATAGGAAAAGTGGATGCACTGGCAGTGGAAACTTCTTTAGACCCATTTGGCATCATGAAAGAAACAGGAGAGAAATGTACAGTCATGTCCCCTAGAAATTATGTGAGGTTCCACCATCTTTCTGTGCCGCCATCATGGTGCACATGAATGTCCTGGCTGATGCTCTCAAGAGCACCAACAATACCGAAAAGAGAGGCAAATGCCAGATTCTTATCAAGCTGTGCTCCAAAGTCATCGTCCAGTTTCTAACTGTGATGATGAAGCATGGTTACACTGGCAAATTTGAAATCTTTGATGATCACAGAGCTGGAAAAATTGTTGTGAACCTCACAGGTAGGTTAAACAAGTGTGGCGTGATCAGCCCCAGATTTGATGTGCAACTCAAAGATCGAGAAAAATGGCAGAATAATCTACCTCCATCCCACCAGTTTGGTTTCATTGTACTGACAACCTCAGTTGGCATCGTGGACCATGAAGAAGCAAAATGGAAGCACACAGCAGGGAAAATCCTGGGATTCTTTTTCTAGGGATGTAATGCGTATGTACAAATAAAATGCCTCAGTGGAGAAAAAAAAATTCTGTGAGTTAGGGTGGAAAGGAGATTCTCATGGGGGTATAGATTTCTCATTTGCTTCTGTCACTATTGCTAAGGGCTATGTTGAGGCAATATAGAAGAGATATATTAAATTGGGAGTAGCCAGTTTAGTTATTTGGGAAGAAATAAAATCTAAAAGAACTCCCCCTCACTGACTCCTACATCAATTTTGTTAAACTTTACTTTGAGCCAAGGAGAATTTCTGCTTTTTTTTTTTAGTGCTGCCCTGGCTCTTCCCTTTTACAAATCTGCAGATACCTCTTCAAATCACAGATAAAGCCAGCAGATAGCATATTTATTACCCAGAACAATAGAAACAGTATATGCTGGCAGTGGAGCTTACAAAGAATTCGATCAAAAATGACTCATAATCAGAGGAACCAGCTGTGAATTTATATAAAGACACAAAAGGAAAGAGAAAGGTACAAGGAAAAAACACGTGTCAGACGAAGACTATTCATCAGGAAAATGTTACTGTAGAGCAAATAAAATAGTGATATTTCGCATTTAAAACCTTTAAAACAAGAGATTAAAGCAGAAATTTTAAAAGTTAAGATAACGTAAGAAGATAAAATGGGAGCTTTCAGAAGGAATTGAAAAGAAAAAATAAAGCTACTGGAAATTATGGTGACTTTGGAAACACCACAGAGGATACTACTTCAGTAAGTACATTAAGGATTGAGAAAAGTAAGCAAAAGAAATGGAAAGGAACAAAGAATTTTAACACGGAGATATTGAACTTGAAAGATAAGTCCTTTAGGTATCTAGACAATGAAATCAAGGCCTTCGTGGGGGCCAGGACAGGAGGATCAGTGTGGGCTCAGTCTCCTTCACTTTAACATTCAACATTGGAAGATAGTGTAGCACTAACTGGAAGTCCTAAGGGAAAGTCAACACACCTAACTCTACCTCTTGGAAAGGCTGAAAATCAAAGGATGGCAAAAACATGCTAAGAAAATGGAAACTGAAAGAAAACAGTTTGAATTCAGAACAAAATAAAAGTAGTAACAAGGCAAAAAGAACACACTATAATGTTGTGGATAAAATCCTCAGTAGCTGTCAAACTGATGAAAGGATGCTCAACCTCACTCATCATAAGAGATAAGAAAATTAGAACAGCAATGAAACTGTATTCTGTCATATTGGAAATAACTAAAACAACTAAAAATTCATAGAACACTCTCATGCATTAAGAGTTGGAGAATAGTTTATAAGATCTCCATGGTGGTTAATTTGAAAATTTCCTTCCAATTGTAAATTTCCATACCCTTTAACCCCAACAATTCTACTTCTGATTTTTTCCCCTGTATATTTACTTGCACATTTTGAAAGACTTGTGTTCAAAGATTTTCACTGAAGCATCATTTGTAATGGCAAAATCATTTGTAACAGCAAAATTCTTCACCAGTGGGGACTGCTTTAATAAATGATACATTGATATCAGTAAAAGAATGAAACAGCTTTCCTTGTAGTGATCTAGCATAAGCCAAAAGCAAGAGGCAGAACAGTTTGTGTGGAATGCTAGCATTTGCATGGAAAGGAAAATACAGGTAGGTAAGTAGGTAGATGATAGATAGGCAGTTCTTTAGATAGATAGATGGTAGATAGGCAGATAGATGATTGTTAGGTAGATACATACATACTTACTTAGACGGTTGATGCTTATAAATGCCGAGGATATAGCTGGAAGAATACCTAATGAAATTCCAGTGTTATCTCTAGGGAGGAAAACTGAGTGGCTGAGGAAGGTAGGTAGGAGCTTGACTTACTTTTAAGATTTTTTTTAGAAGCTCTCGACATAAAACCTTCAAGAACTTTTTTTCTGAACCTCACAAATAAGGACTTTCTCCTCCTAAACCAGAATATAACCCTCAAAATAATGAAGCTAACATTGATATATTATTCCACCTAATCCTCAGATCCAATTCAAATGTCACTCATTGCACCAATTATGTCCTTTCTATTACAACGACAATTTTCAAAATAATAACAAATTCAGGCCAGAATGATGTCAGTCAGCCCAGGCCAGAATTATGCATTACATCTAGTCATCATGCCTCCTTCAAACTGGAATGGCTTCTCAGTTTTCTTTGACGTGCATGATCTTGATGCTTTTGAAAATTACCAGCCAATTATTTTGAAGGAAGTCCCTCAATTTAAGTTTGACTTTTTCTCATGATTAGATTCAGGTTATGACCTTTGGCAGGAAACCACAGAAGTGACACTCAATTTTTTTCACTGCATCAGGTGGTACCTGATCTCAATTTTTCCTATTGCTGGTGATATAAGCCTTAGTCACTTGGCTAAGGTGGTGTTTGCCAGTATGGGATCAGTCTCTTCTGTCAATGCCATTGCTCCCCTAACCTCCTGGTTCCTGAGTAGATACCCTCTACCCCGCTGAGGCTCTGACATTTTGTACCAGGCTACTGCCACTGTGTCCTCACCCCACCTGGGCTTCATTGCCCCATGCCTACCTACCCTGTCACCCTCCTACGGAGGTACCCTCCTGGGTCTCCAACACCCCACACCAGCCCGACACTGTCATCCCTGAACAGAACCCCTTCTTGCCCTCTTGGGCTTTGACACACATGTCAGATGCTTGCCTGACCCCATCCAGGCTCCAGCACCCTATATGGGGCCACCCTACCGTACAGGAGATTCACTTGCCCCACTTGGATGCTGACACCCTGTCATGCTGCCCACGATGGCCATCCTACTCACTCCACTCTTGCTGCCACGTCCTGCACTAGGCTTGCCAAGATTCTGTCCCTCTCTCCCTCACGTGGACACCTACTTTGCTCAGCCCCACCTTTTCAGGCCAAATGATTCTGCTAGACAGGTAAGAGAAAGAAAAAGTAGAGAAATAAAAGAACAGGAGATGGGTTTTCACTGGTTACCCAGCATAGTTTTATACTGTATGTATATATTACCTGTACAAACACATAAATGGATTATCTTTCCATAATTTAACTATGAAACTGTTTTTGTTACTGTTATTGTTTGTTTTGGTTTGTTTTTTTTATTTATTTATTTTTTTTTGAGTTGGAGTCTCACTCTGTCACCCAGACTGGAGTGCAGTGGCCGCTCCCGGCCACCGCAGCCTCGACCCGCTGGGCTCCGGCGATCCTTCCACCTCAGCTTTCCAAGTAGCCGGAATTACAGGCATGCGCTACCAAGCCCGGCTGATTTTTTTATTTATTGTAGAGCTGAGGTCTCGCTGCCCAGACGGGTCTCGAACCTGCAGGCTCAGGCAATCCACTCACCCAAAGGTACGGGATTACAGGCTGAGCCACCGAGCCCGGCTAGGTTTGATTTTTTTTGAGTCGAAGTCTCACTCTGTCACCCAGGCTGGAGTGCAGTGGTAGGCTCACAGTCACTGCAGCCTCGACCTACTGGGCTCAGGCAGTCCTTCTGCCTCAGCCTTCCAAGTAGCTAGAACTACAGGCATGCGCCACCATGCCCGGCTAATTTTTTATTTATTTTAGAAACGAGGTCTCACCATGTTGCCCAGGCTGTCCTTGAACCCATGGGCTCAGGCAATCCTCTTACCTCCACCTCCCAAAGGGATTACAGGCGTGAGCTACTGCACCCTGCTTCACTAAGAAACTTTGAGAGGAGGAGCAGAGTAGTGTGAATAAACCAAATTTTCCTTGTTCTGAGCCAAATACAAGTATAGTGGTTAATGAGTGAAGTTCATAAATAAGGAAACAGAAGCATAAGCATATTATTTAGATTTTGGTGGTGGCCATTGGAACCCAACCAAAAATCACCATAAAAGTTTATCTTGGAGGATGGAGGGATTAATAGGAAGGGGTGAGGCAGACAACTATTATTTTTCAATATAAGCTCTTCTGTATTCTTTGACTTGTTTCTGTTATAATGAATTTGATTTAACTGTTTTTCTTTTTTGGGTTCATTTTATTTTGAAAAATGTTCTTCGCCTGATATTAGATGTTCACTTAGTGCTGTTAGGGTTGTTATATTTAAATCTTTGCTTCATCTTGAATTTATGTTGATATGTAATGATGATTATTTCCTCGATTTACAGAAAGACAGCACATTGGATGCTGCTGAAGAAATCATCAAGGCTTGGCATGAGCAGAAGTCTTAATATGTGCGGAATGGGATGTGTTTCTACCAGATGACCTAGTATGGAGTTGTTACTTAGTACTGCCACCTGCTGGATATTGAAACACAAATACTTAAATACAAATGGAATTTAAAGATAAAGATGTTTTTTCCAAAGAAAAGTTAACTCTACTCCTAGAAATATTAAGGATATCTGATTTTTTTTCAGTTGGAATGTATTAAAACACCTCCCACTATCATTTTATGAGAGTCAGTGTAGCATAGTGGGTACGGACTGTGAGATACTTGGCCTCTCTGGGCTTGTTTCCTCATTACAAAGGGAATAAAAATAGCAGCTGCTTCATATGAAGGTTGTTTGTGAGGATTACATGAACTAATGTAAAGCCTGGCAAACAGTAAACTCTCACTCACATTAGCCAGTGTCACTTCTCCGCCACTGTGTAAAAACCCCTAACCAATTCCACCCTTCTACCCTATATTTGCTTTGTCTACCCACCTGTAGTTCCCTCCCCTTCACTTACCCATGGCCTTGAACTTTGCTTCATATCCCAAGTACTACCATCATTCAAGTGGCTTCAAGGTCCATGTTGATAACCTAGGCGTTCCATACCTTTACCTCCTCACCTCTGGTTTTGCTCACCTCCACTCCACTTCAGCCACCCACTTCCTTGGTCACTCCCTGAGGTTTTCATCATTTCACCTTTAATATAATAAATTCGTCATCTCACACTGTAACCACCTATTCTTCCAGCTCCTGCTTGCTCTCTTGTGTGTATTCTGTCTGTCTCTCTCTTCCTCCCACCTTCTCCCTCTCTCTCTCTCCCCTTCTCTCTCCCTATCTCTCTCTTCTCCTCAGCTCCTCTCAAAACAGCACTTCTTTAAATTAGGCACAATTTTAAACCCACTACAAGGTCTGACAGTTAAGTTCACAAACTTGCCACCATGCGATTATGTTGGCAGCACTATACAAACAACTCAGTAAGGTTTCATAATCTTGGTATTATCTGTGTCTCACAGCTGTGTTCGTGTTGACATGTGGTGGTGTCCTGCTTAGTAGTGTCCATTATTGTTGTTGCATGTTTTTGTATGCTGTCATGAGAATGCCAGAGCTTGAATTAGAGCAATGAACAAGTATTAAATTTCTTGTTAAACTTGGTAGTAGTGGAAGTGAAATTAGAGACATGTTAGTCCAAGTTTATGGGGATAATGCCATGAAGAAAATGGTAGTGTACAAATGGATTCAATGTTTTTCTTTTTCTTTCTTTTTTTTTTTTGAGTTGGAGTCTCACTCCATGGCCCAGGCTGGAGTGCAGTGGCACACTCACAGCCACCCCAGTGTCGACCTGCTGGGCTCTGGCGATCCTTCCCCCTCAGCCTTCCAAGTAACTGGAACTACAGGAGTGCACTACTACGCCTAGCTAATTTTTTATTTTTATTGTAGAGAGGCGGTCTCACCAAATTGCCCAGGCTGTTCTCAAACCCATGGGCTCAGGCAATCCCTTCACCTTGGCCTCCCAAAGTACTGGGATTACAGGTTGAGCCACTGAGCCTGGCCTAAATGTTTTTCTTTTTTTTTTTTTTTTTTTT